CGCGCCGCAGCCGGCGCCGGGCTCGTCCCCGTCCCGGTCGGGAGCGCCGCCGCTCGCCCGCAGGCCCCTGGGGCCCTGCCGCCGCCTGGCAGCAGCCCGAGGGAGCCGGCTGCGATGGAAAAGTACCGGGCGGGCGGCTGCGTGCTACCGCTGCACTGCGGCCCGGGGAGCGCCGCGGCCCTTGCGGAGACCGTACAGAAGCGAGAGGAGCCCGCGCGTTGTCATTCGCTACGGTGCATTAACTATGCGCTAAGGCACTTGTCGGCACCTTGTAACTGCTCACTGGCATTAGCGATCAGACCCTGCCCAGGACCGCCTTCCTGGGGAGAAAGCGCCCGCGCCAGCTCCAGAGGACGAGCACAGTTAATACCGGTCTAACCAACCTCTACAATCTAGGTCAACACCTTCCAGCTACAGCACTGCAGCAGAGATTTTACCCGAAAGGTGTTACAGAAACAGAATAGCCTGTTCACTGCAGAAGGATCTTTATTTGAAGTCTTTCCCTGCTGGAGCAGCAGTTCTGGAAGGCACGGAGCTCACTGCCCCCAGCCCCAGGAACCAGTCTTGAACTCGGAAGGCTGGAGCACAGCTGAGGGAGAGGTGATCAGAACCCCTTTTCCTCTGCTACTGCTAAGGGTGCTACTGTTACAGCCGTAATTTTAACTCTTCATCCTTAAACTCTTAATTGCGTAGTTTGGACACTCATCACCACCCTCAGACTAACAGAAAGCAAGCGCTTTCCAGTTCAGATCCCTGCAACCAAGCAGAGGTAAAGCCCACCAGTGAAGAAGCAACACCAAGACAGAGCTATTTGACTGCTGCCTTGGAAGCAGGTTTTAGACTCTTCCCCAAAGCTCACACACCAAGCGCCAGCAGAGGCTGCTGCAGTACAGCCTCTGCCTTACAGACATCCCTCCCTGGTCTCTTACGAGATGACAAAGTGAGAGGGGTCAGGCTCTACCATAAAGAAAAATCAACTGAAGTTGTGGATTTCCAGCATCCACCCAGCTTACCTTCTTCCTCCTCCATGACAGACCCCTTTGCCCTGTGAAGGCTGACATCAAGTAACTGGCCCCAAGCAGCAGCAGCCACCGCCACCTTAGACCTACCCTGCCAAAGGCAACTGCCACCCCCCACTGCTGGCTCCCTTTGCAAGAATGTAACTTTGTGGGATAAAACCCCTAGGCCTCTCACCCAATGGTATTTACCAAGTGCAGTGTTCTAGGACCTTGTTTCCAGACACCCCAAGGACAGCTGACAGGATTGTCAGAGTTGCATGTTCTTGGAATGATTCATTGAGAGCTGCATAGTTGGGACCAAGTATTTTTCAGTTAGTGGACAAGAGACAATCAGTCTTGATATAACATTTATTGAATACTTCCACTCTAGTGGATGAAAAGTCTGTACAAAACCAAACATTTCCTTTACTTAAACCAATCTAAAAACAGTCAGCTCAATCAAAACCCACTACAAATACAATAGCTTCTTTGAAGCCATGGTAACACTTAAATACGGTTAAGACTTCAATGCAGAAATTTGGTTTGTTAGAAAGCTCAAGGGAGCTTTAGCTTCTCAAAGTTACAAAAAGGCAAAGTCGTGTTTCACAGATACAGTCCACTGGAATCACCAACACTGGACAATTAAGTACTTAGAGTCCTGAGATAACAAGGAATCCTGGTATCCTTTAGACAGTTTTCTGTTGTCCTTTCTTTCCAATGAGAGACTTGTGGATATGCGGTATTACACCTAAGAAAGAGCAACAATTAAGACCATGTTATTTCTCTTCAACAGTTGTCCTGAACTTTGCACTTCAAATAAAACAGCACTAAGCAACCCCTAGTCTATTCAAGTTCCTGCCACCCAGCTCATCACAAACAGTCAGCAAGCAATTTACATACCACCACCAGCAATTGTTGCCTTAATGAGAGAATCCAATTCTTCATCTCCTCTAATTGCAAGCTGCAAGTGACGGGGAGTGATACGTTTCACCTTCAAGTCTTTGGATGCATTTCCAGCCAGCTCAAGAACCTGAGGACAAGACAACTTTTAAACCAAGTTACACAAATCAAGTGAAACCAACTGCATGGCCCTGGCTATTTTATTCTCTATGCCAAATATGCTATTAGTGACACCAAGACGGCAAACAGTGCCTCTTTTGAAAGGGTTCCTTCGTTTGGAGCTCTACATTTAGTTTTCCCCAAGAACAGAGTAAGTGTTTCAGAGCAGATAGGACACACTGTAATAGCACATTTCATAAAATACTTCACACTTCCATCTGTCCTATAAGTCACAGCGCTTTGAACTGCACAAAATGCGGAGCAAAATGTCCCATGTGCATTTCATGGTCTCCTGATGAGGCATGCACTTAAAACTGGCTCAAAGCAAGCAAAGAGTTCACAGCCCAGTCCAAATGGGCAAAATACAGCAGGCTCTGGTCATTGCACCCTTTTGGAGTTGACCAACTTGCTTGCACCCCATTGCAGGAGCATTACCTCAGCTGTCAAGTACTCCAGGATTGCTGCGCTATACACAGCGGCTGTGGCTCCTACACGCCCATGGCTGGTAGTCCTAGACTTCAGGTGCCTGTGGATGCGGCCAACAGGGAACTAGAAAACAACAGAAGTATGACTAGGCTGTGACGACAGACAGAAAAAGAAAGCCACTACTCTAAACCACATGCTGGGCAACAGAATCCCGGTGGCAGAAGCACGGATTATATTTCAACACTTCAGAATCCAGCTAAGGACACTGTATGCCAAGTTCACATCAGCAACTTCACAATTCTAACTGCAAGCAGTAGCGACAGCCACAAGGAAATTCTCTTCCCTCCCACACAGACATGCAAAAGGTCTAAAAATAGTCATACCAGACATTTACAAGACTCCAGATCCTTACACCATTCTGTACGACAGACCGTGCTGCTTTCACAAGGCACAACCAACCAAGAGATGGAAGGCCAACCTGCCTTTCATTCACCCATGCCCCAGTGTCTGCTCACCTGCAATCCAGCCCGTTGAGAACGGGACACTGCTTTGGTCTTGGTCTTTCCGGAGTCCTTCCCAGCTTTACCACCAGCCTACCGAAGAGATGCGTGAGAGCTGCCGCGCCCGCCGTCCCCCCTCAGAGACACCGTACCTGCCAGGGACGGCGGCCAAGGGCCCGCGCCGGCCGCGCCGCCCATGCGCTCCCCTCCCCCCCCCCCCCCAGGGCGGCACGCGCGACCGCAACGCGCGTGCGCGCTGCCCGCTACACCTAG